ATTGCTTACCTTCTTGCATTAATACAATAAAAAGACTTGAAAATTACATATTTTCTGTTCCAGAGAACAATGTTGGTATATCTTGTGTTATATATCACACCCCTGAGAGAGCGTATATCTAACAAGAAACAGAACATGTGGGACAACTTTGTCTAGAAAGGTAAGTATCTGAATAGGATCATATTTCCTGCTATAAATTCTACTTTTAGAAACGATGTCGGTTGTCTGGTAGAATTTGGTAACCAGGTAAGGTTAGACGTGTTTCGGTCCACCTTTTCTCCAGTTCTATATTCTACAGCTCAAATATAAGTAATGTGTAGATTAGGCGATAACGAACACCTATATCTGATACAATGTATTATCGATTATAATAACCTGCAGTAATTGTAAGTATTGCCAATATTCGAAAAACAAAGCATTTTAATCCTTATTTCTTATAGGAAACAAATTCAACACAAAAGAAAACCAAGAGAAAAAAAATCTTTGTCAAACGCAACTCATTGCTGCTCCGAGTGACCAGGTTAAACTGTCAGATAGTACTTTAAAATTATCGATGAAATGAGGACGATAAGCTTCAGGCAAGGTCTTTGTCCTTTGAGAAAATTAAACGCTTGGTTTGTACAATGGGTATGATTATGCATATGAATAGCACGGTAAGAATAGGACACAAGGGTTGGTTTTTTTCGTACGAGTTTTCTCCCTTGAAGTTGAAATCAAAATAGAGAAAAAAAAGAAAAGAGAAAAATCACATTTCGAGACTGTCACGCGCCAACACTTGTCAGTTATTGCTCGAATGTTTATGTGGACGCACAGATTTTGTAGTAGATTTTTTTATACAACACATCGCCGGTTCAAACCGATATTCATCATTAAGTACGAGGCCACAGGGATGGGATAATCAAGACATAAGAATCAACAAGAAGATTTGCTAAGATTTTCAGTGTGGCCCAGAACGTGAGATAATTATTATGTGAACTTATTCGGGAGAGTTACAGCCACAGAGACCTGGCGTCCTCGAGTCAGGTGGGGTGCTACTAAAACCATTCTCATCTCGGCCTTATCTGTGATATTTATTATCATTACATCTATAGTAATAAAACATCATAATTCTCAAGTATTTTTACTTATTCTACTTCATATAATGACCTATATATATATATATATATATACATAAACAATTTAATAATTCAAACAGCCATAACATATCATATATTTACATTATTCAATTGTATATACAACCATCAATTCATATAGCATATTTATATATATATAATTATTTACATATTTTTTCTATATAGAATTTTAAACATATTTACATTATTCAATTGTATATACAACCATTAATTCATATAGCATATTTATATATATATGATTATTTACATATTATTTCTATATAGAATTATAAACATAGGTTGTTTCTGTACAAAGAATTAATTCAAATATAGTAATTTATTAATACACGTCGGGGGAAAAGCCGTAAGTTCTCATTCGGTACCATGTGCGAGCGATGAGACGTTTGATCGATACTCGTCATAAACATAAACGTACTGTGTAGACCTCGGGGATGGGATTATCTCCGAGAATACAACCGC